TTATGACCTGCAATTTACAGGTTTTTAAACAGAGAAGCCAGACTGCAGATACTGAAGTTTTCCAATTACAGCAAAAATTTTATTACACTATTTGAATAATTAATGACATACATTCTGATAGCCCTAATAACACTGATGCAAAAAGTTAGCACTTTTGACTATCTGTAATTTAATACTAAATGTTGAGCACTTGGTAGTCTGAAGACATTTCAGAGACACTCTTTCACCTCCGCTTGCCCCCAAACATCTTCAGCATTGGTTCAAGTATGTATGTCGAATACTTTTTGTGAAACAAACCCTCTGAATGCTGCTTAAAAAAGTAATGATTCCACTGAACTCTTACCAGATTTTAAAGTTGTAAATAAAGCTCCACTGTTACCAATAACTGGAACTGCATAAGGCTTTGTGCTATCTAGCTACTTACATCAAAACAGTCTTCTTGAGTGCAATGTAATCCTGAAAAATCTGCTTAATTTCAATTAAGTTCTACTACACTTATTTCACAATATGTTTAAGTATTTTTCCTCACTGAGTGATCCTTATCTATTGATTTCTGAAGTGCAGAAACATAGAAATCAACTTACCCTGTGTTTTTCCTTTACTTTCTTCCTGTATTCTTCTTTGTCAAATTTGTCTTCTTCCCGCAGTATCTCTTTTGCTTTCTCCAAGTTGATGCCAGTAGTATCATCTGCCTCCTCTGCTTTTGCCAAACTGGATTTCTGCACAGGTGGCCACTGCTGCACTAACTGAATTATTCATGTCAACAAGAAAAATAATGGTTAGAATATTTTTTTCCACATAAAGGTTTTGACATCCTAAATACTCCATTACATTATTTTTCTAGACTAAATAAAATAGCCATTTACAAAGAAAACAAACAAACAAAACTTCTGCACAATACAAACTCAGATGCTGGGGAAAAAATACAAATACAATACAAAACTGGATGCTGGAAACTGAAAAACAACGTACATAACATCTGAAGCTGTGAAATCAAATGCTAGAAAAGTTCATGGAGGGCCACAAAAACAATCAGAGAGCTGAAGCACCTCTCCTATGAAGACAGGCTGAGAGAGTTGGGGTTGTTCAGCCTGGAGAAGTGAAGGCTCTGGCAAGACCTCATAGTGGCCTTCCAGTACCTGAAGGAGCTACATTAGTCGGATGAGAGTCATGAAGAAAACCTAATTATGGCGTAGATGCTTTGAAAGTTTCCATAAGCCTTAAGGTACTGCAACACACATCTTATCTAATCCAAGAATGCACCCAAAACTATATTTCTGATCATACTGAAAATGGTGCTCATTTAAATGACATTCACAAACGGATTTAAAAGCAATGGTCTGTGGATATTTTCTGAATAGTTCTGTTCCTCATAAGAAATGGTTTCACAAGAACAGTTCATATTAAGCTTACAGAACATATTCACCTAAAAAAAAGCTAATTTGTTCAAGTTTTTAAGAAGTTCATTTTTTCCCAAAAAAAATCTTTTTTTCATGTTCAAAATAATACTGAATAAACCATAAAAGGGGGATTCTCATTTCAATATGACCTATAAAATTGCAAGCTTTATAAAAAACACTGTTTTTTCTATGGCAATCTATCTCAAAATTTGTGCAAGATATAAAAATTGGCATGCATGATATAGAACACTGGATGAAACAACCATGTAGCAGACTCCCACATTTGGTTTATACAAAGTCAAACCACATTTGTCTCTAGTGGTCTTCTACTCTACCTATATATTAACTCCATTTAATACTTAACACTTTTCAAAAATTGATTTAAAGGGAAAAATAACTGCCAAATATACAAACCATGAAAATACACCAAGCATCAATGTAGTAGGAAGAAAAGGAATTCAGAGGAGGAAATACGAATCAAGATACAGACCATTTGAAACCTGCTGAAAGTGAAGGAACAGAAGAACATTAAACTGATTAAAAAGTTAAGCTAAGACCTTGAACAAACCTGGTAGAAAAACAGAAAGAAAAATTTAACCATGAATTTTTCGATAAGCTTCTGAGGAGAAAGGGAGAGTTATATGAGAATTCCATAACCAAGGTGGAAAGCAAAGAAACAAAGAATGGTCACATTGGACTGTTAGAAAAGTTGTCAAATGGAGAAAAAAAAGATCTGCAATGGTCTGCCTGCAAGACGGGTTGCTAGCAGATGGGAATGAAATAATCAGCATTACTGCAGAAAGGAAAGGTCAGATGACAGAGTTCATGCTATGCCGTGATGTATTTTGGCTGATAATGAAGTATGGAAGATTTTAAGAGAAGCAATAACAGGCACAAGTGATGGATTTAAGACTTATTATAAGGGTCTGCTGAATGCCAGTGAGGGAGAATTTAAGATGGAATGAAAGCATGTGACTTTGAAAAGGTTCTCTTTTAGTGACACAAGAAGGGGCACTAAGACATCACTACTTACACTAATTTGAAGTTATAGAAAGTCTCCCAGCTTTTTTGTTTTCATATCCTTTGTTAGTAACACACTTGAATCTCTTATGTTTCATCCTCTCCCTCCAAATGAGGCTAAGAAATAACTTTCATCACTAGCCCATGAGGCTTCCATACACAACCAAACTTCTAACAGCAAACTCAGTTCAGGCTTCTGCAGTACAGTCAGGATACATGGACTTGGGTAGTTGTTCTTCCTTCACACATCTGAGATGCCAGCCAAAGATTCAAAATCAACTAGGTATCCACTGCAGAGTGATTACATTTTGGCAAGGGAAACCTGATATGGTAGGAGAATTTTTAAATACTATTGGGTAGTCAATGTGAAAGAGGCCATGTAATTCCTTCTTACTGTGAAGCAGTGCAATTTTTTCCCCAGCATTCTTTTGTTAATGGACTGATGAGGATAACTTCTTAACCCAGGTAACAGACCTGGTAATCCCCCCCCCAACAGAGTGGATGTGATACTGGACCTCATGGTCACCAATCCAAGTGAGCTACTCTGTGACACAGACTGTAGACAGCCTAGGCTGCAGTGTTCATGCACTGGTGGAGTTTGCAGTCTTAAGGGATACAGGTCAGGCAAAGAGAAAAGTCAGGATCTTGAATTTTAGGAATGTAAATTTCCAGATCTTCAAGGAGTCAGTCAGCAAGACTCCCTGAGAAAATGCCCTGAGGGACAAGGGAGCAGAACAGAGCTGGCAAATACATAAAGATGCTTTCTATGGAGTACAAGAGCTCTCGTTCCCCTAGTGTAAGAAATGAGGCAAGGAAGGCAAGAGAGAAGCATGGCTGGGTTGAGACCTGCTGGTCAAACTAAAGAGCAAGAAAGAAAGGCACGGGCAGTAGAAGCAGGGACAGATATCTAGGGAAGAGAATAAGGATGCTACCCCTTTGTGTAGGCATGGGGTCAGGAAGGCCAAGGCACAGATGGAGTTGAACTTGACAAGGGACACAAAGAATAATAATAAGGGCTTCTACAGGTAAGACAGCCAAAAAAGGAAGGTCAAAGAAAGTTTAGCACTCTGATGAACACAACTGGCAAACTGGTTACAACAGACAAGGAGAAGGCTGAGGTACTCAACAACTTTTTCATGTCAGTCTTCACTAGCAACCTCTCTTCTCACACCTCTTGAGCAGATGGACTCAGTTGGAACTCAATGATCTTTAAGGTCCCTTCCAACTTTAGCCATTCTATAATTCTATGACTGCAAGGCAGGGGCTGGGGGAGGAAAGTCTCTCCCACTAAGAGAAGATCAGGTTTGTGACCATCTGAGGACCACCTGAACATACATTCATTTACGGGACCTGAGGAGATGCAGACAAGCATCTGATCCTAAAATATGATAGTACTGTTTTCTGTAAAATTGACAACAGGCTCACCTATAGCACAGAAAGCATTTTTTCTTTGCTGCTACTTTCAGATGCAACACTTCGCCAAAGAATAGAAGAGATTTCTTTATAGATGTCAAATATCTGTAACAAGACTATAGGAGTAGACTTTCAAATTAAATGTGTGAAGGATGCTTTGACTTCAGCTGGAATTCTTCTATGTCCAAATGTAACCTGAAGTTTTCACAAATCCTCTCTGAATTATTTTGTTCAAATACAAACCACAACAGGCACTAGAACATCTAACACTAATCACTAGCAATCGTGGATAAAGTCAAACTGGATAAAGTCAAGATTTGCAGAGCAGGGCAATAAAACACTTTTTAATGCTTTGGAAATTAGGAGCTTTGAGTGTACAGCGGGCCTTCAATAGCACATAGTCCTGCAACCTTGCATTTATCCGTTATCTGGAGAAATCCAGACCCTTCTCACAATGACAAACAGAATGATCCCTGAACGGAAAGACATCCTCCTGTTTTCCCAGTGACTGGTTAGTGACAGAGTCAGAAAATTCTGCTTTGGATCATGACAAATAATATAGAAGCAGAAGCAGTTTGCAAACTTATGACCTGCAATTTACAGGTTTTTAAACAGAGAAGCCAGACTGCAGATACTGAAGTTTTCCAATTACAGCAAAAATTTTATTACACTATTTGAATAATTAATGACATACATTCTGATAGCCCTAATAACACTGATGCAAAAAGTTAGCACTTTTGACTATCTGTAATTTAATACTAAATGTTGAGCACTTGGTAGTCTGAAGACATTTCAGAGACTCTCTTTCACCTCCGCTTGCCCCCAAACATCTTCAGCATTGGTTCAAGTATGTATGTCGAATACTTTTTGTGAAACAAACCCTCTGAATGCTGCTTAAAAAAGTAATGATTCCACTGAACTCTTACCAGATTTTAAAGTTGTAAATAAAGCTCCACTGTTACCAATAACTGGAACTGCATAAGGCTTTGTGCTATCTAGCTACTTACATCAAAACAGTCTTCTTGAGTGCAATGTAATCCTGAAAAATCTGCTTAATTTCAATTAAGTTCTACTACACTTATTTCACAATATGTTTAAGTATTTTTCCTCACTGAGTGATCCTTATCTATTGATTTCTGAAGTGCAGAAACATAGAAATCAACTTACCCTGTGTTTTTCCTTTACTTTCTTCCTGTATTCTTCTTTGTCAAATTTGTCTTCTTCCCGCAGTATCTCTTTTGCTTTCTCCAAGTTGATGCCAGTAGTATCATCTGCCTCCTCTGCTTTTGCCAAACTGGATTTCTGCACAGGTGGCCACTGCTGCACTAACTGAATTATTCATGTCAACAAGAAAAATAATGGTTAGAATATTTTTTTCCACATAAAGGTTTTGACATCCTAAATACTCCATTACATTATTTTTCTAGACTAAATAAAATAGCCATTTACAAAGAAAACAAACAAACAAAACTTCTGCACAATACAAACTCAGATGCTGGGGAAAAAATACAAATACAATACAAAACTGGATGCTGGAAACTGAAAAACAACGTACATAACATCTGAAGCTGTGAAATCAAATGCTAGAAAAGTTCATGGAGGGCCACAAAAACAATCAGAGAGCTGAAGCACCTCTCCTATGAAGACAGGCTGAGAGAGTTGGGGTTGTTCAGCCTGGAGAAGTGAAGGCTCTGGCAAGACCTCATAGTGGCCTTCCAGTACCTGAAGGAGCTACATTAGTCGGTCAAGAGAGGTTCTCCTCCCCCTCTATTCTGCATTGGTGAGGCCACATCTGGAGTATTGTGTCCAGTTCTGGGCCCCTCACTTCCAGAAGGACAGGGAACTGCTTGAAAGAGTCCAGCACAGAGCCACAGAGATGATGAAGGGAGTGGAACATCTCCCTTATGAGGAAAGGCTGAGGGAGCTGGGTCTCTTTAGCTTGGAGAAAAGGAGACTGAGGGGTGACCTCATCAATGTTTACAAATATGTAAGGGGTGAGTGTCAGGGAGATGGAGTTAGGCTTTTCTCAGTGATGACCAGTGATAGGACAAGGGGTAATGGGTGTAAATTGGAGCATAGGAGGTTCAAGGTGAATATCCGAAAAAATTTTTTTACTGTGAGAGTGACAGAGCACTGGAACAGACTGCCCAGGGAGGTTGTGGAGTCTCCTTCACTGGAGACATTCAAAACCCACCTGGATGCGTTCCTGTGTGATGTACTCTAGGTGACCCTGCTCTGGCAGGGGGGGTTGGACTAGATGATCTTTTGAGGTCCCTTCCAACCCCTAGGATTCTATGATTCTATGAAGGCTGGGGAGGGACTTTAGATGAGGGCATGTAGTGACAGGATGAGGAGAATGGTTTCCAACTGAAAGACGGCAGATTTAGATTATACATTAGGAAGAAATCCTTTACTATGATAGTGGTGCAACAGTGGCACAGGTTCCCAGAGAGGTGGTAGATGCTCCATCCCTGGAAACATTCAAGATCAGGTTGGAAGAGGACTGAGCAACATGATCTAGCTGAAGATGTCCCTGCTCACTGCAAGGGGATTGGAGCAGATGACCTTTAAAGGTCCCTCTCAAGTCAAACTATTCTATGATTTTTATAAACTATAGATTCAGTTACCACCAACATACAGTTATTCAGAACTGATCTTACCTCTCCATCTTCAGTAAAGACTATTTTTGTGTTGACTTTAAATTTCTTCTTCACTATTTTTTTTGCTTCTTGGGTTTTAGTTGTTTTTTTCTTCTCCTTTGATTTTGATGCATTCTGTATAAAAGAAAATAGTATTCTTTACTGTTGTTTTATTTCTAGTTACAGAGTATATGCTTTAAACTTTCTTAGAAGCAATTACATGTATTAAAACATAATTCCTAAAACACATGAGTAAAAGTAATTTCCAGTAAAAAGTAGCTAACTGACCTTCTCATAAAATATTTTAAGCAGGTCGTGCCATGAGGAACTCATTTACTCTGCTAGCAGTTCAGCATAACTTAAATCCTGTCAGCAGCAGGACATCTGACTCATTTAGATCTCACAAACATTTTTAGGGCAAGGACAATAGATTTACCAGCTTACGCTGTTAGGAAGCCTCATCAGACAAGAAATCCAGTATAACTGCCTGAAACCATTAGCTACAATTGATCAGATACCACTTTCACCTCACTTGCCATCATGTTGTCTCCAGGTACTATAGTAACACCATTTAAAGTTATTTCTGTGTCAGTGAAGTGCACAAGATCCCTTTCAGCTCCATTAGGGTGCAGAACTTCAGTGCTAGGATCTGTTTACCAAACTTAGTCTTGAACAACATTTCAAATCA